CTTGTCGGGGAATCCAACATCTCACGGGCATTTCCCCCATCCCCACCCCCCCCCCAAGCCTCCATTACCTACTAGGAACACATCGCATTCTGCACTGGGATTGTCCTGTTCTGAAGGGGCAGCAAAGTTCCCTTATAACACGAAGGGGCTTTTTGTGACTCCTGCACGGCCTGGAGGAAGGAAGTTCTGACATATATTTCACTGTCACCCCCTCCCCTCAGAATCTAAGAGGATGGAGCCAGATACCTGTAAGACCGGTGAATCAGAGGAAGACTACGTTGAAGAAGAGGACTCTGGGGAGGAGTGTGTTAAAGAGGAAGCTACCATCCCTTCTAACTCTTCTCAGCAGGAACTTCCAAAAGCTGACTATAAGGAATTTGGGGATGGAGTTCCCTTATCTGTTGTAGCCAAGAAAATTCCAAAGAAAATCATAGCCCCAACTGACTCAGATGACTTAGAAGTTAGAAGGAGAAAGAGAAGGCGGAAACACAGGTAACGGGTCCCTGGACGACACCCCCCTCCACCCCCGCCACCTGCCTGGCTCCAGAAGAGAGTCACCCCCGGCCTCCCTTCAGCAGTCGGGGTCTTCCCTTTAATCTGCGAAAGAGGACAGGGGATACAGGAACATCATTAACCTTCTGGAACGAGAAAAACACAAAATCCAGAACCATTTGAGCTGGCTTGGTTTGCAGACTTAGCATGTCTCTATCATCCTGGTCTTCCGTGGCTTTTAGAGAAAACGAACTGCACTGTAGATGTGTTGGGTGTCTCTTCCTCCGGGTGCCTGGCAGCCCAGGGTCTGTCCTTCATCCCACTCTGCCTGATTTCTCCTGTTCCTTCATTCCAGACCCCTGGCCATGAACCTGACCAACTGCAAGTATGAGAGCGGTAAGCACCCGGTTCACTCACTCACAACACTGCGCATAAGAGGGCACCTGCAGCTTTGACTCTGGGAATGGTCCCCCCCGTCGGGCTCCCAGCCCCTGGATCTCGTTAGGCTGGCCTACAACCTGGGCTGGGCTACTAGCAGCTGAGACATCTCTGTTCCAGTTCGTCTTGGGGTTAGGGTGGGAATCTCCACAGTTAGCTAACAAGAAAAAAAAGTGACCCTTTTTTTTGCCCCCACCCTTCCCAGATTTTACCAGAGTTGAGATGAGAACAGGCTAATAGAGTTTTTTTCCAAGGAAGATTCTGGGG